AATCGGTGAGCGTCAGCTGGGGTTCCGCGCAATACTAGCCCCTTTTCCATCGCTCGCTGAACGCCCGAAGCCACAAGGATTAATGAAAAAGGGCTGTCGCCGCGCCAAAACCTACGTGCTACTCACGCTCCGACTGACTTCAGTGAAACGGACAAAAGACTGAGAAATACAGTACCTCTTCCGGTTTATTCCTTACGAGGAAGAGCGCATCCAGTCCACCATCCTTCTCAGACATATCGTCATCATCAGACTCTTAAAAAGCACTTATCATCGTTGAATATTCCTCTGTCACTTTATTCGTAATGTATTCTCCGTTTTTCAGCGACAAGTTTAGAACACTGACGCCGAAACAAAAGCAAGCTGGGAAACTAACCGTAGAGTCCTGCAAGACCTTCAGCTGCTTTCTTGACAGCGGGAACATTTCCATTCGTGGCCGTTCCTTTTGGTGATAACGACGCCTTCGGTGACACAACTGCCGAAGTTGTGTCCGATTTTGAGTTCGATATTCGATCCATCTGAATGAACAGCCAAAATTTTCTCGGGTTGGATTAAACAGGATTGGATTAAACAATACAAAGTACAGAACAGTCGAGTCACACACTGTGACTGTTGTGCAACAGGGACCAAGGCGCTATGCCCTTCAAAGCCAGCCAAGGATGACGCTTACGGGTGTGTGATAAGAGAATCTAATTTGCCGCGCTGATGGGCGTCGCGTGCGACGTCAAACCGGCAAATGACGATGGTTCAGGTCGTAGATAACAGGCAATTCGGAGCCGAAAATTTCATTTCATATGTCAACGATGACGGGTCTACATGAAGTCCGGTGCTCCAGTCGACAGGTTAACACGAGCTAAAAGAACGCCGCGCCCACCGCCGCGCGCGGCGAAACACGATTCTCTTGCCCGTCTCCCGACGCTTACACCGCTTTGTTTTTACAAAGGGGAGCTATGGTGGTTCCCAGAAGTCCGCATCAGATGATATGCATCGATACCTGATGACGGCCTAGCTTTAGCTTCTGCGAAACTTGCTCAGTAAGCTGAGGCTGCGTTCAGACTTCGCAATATCGCGATAAAACGCGCATGGTAACACTTCACAGAGGTATCGATTGGCGAGGATAGCTAGGGTTTTTTTGGGAGAGTGGGAAGTTATCCGGTACGGATTACTCTGCTACAGTCTCGGTCACATTACTCTGCCCTCCATACCCTCTCAGTTACCTATTCGGCTTCCGCAATTGATGCACACATCGTTTGGTGGATGGTTGACGCGGATGGGTCAACGCGGTCATACGGAACTCTAAGCAGTGCGTTTCATACTCAGCATTGAGCGTCCTTCTGAGTCGCCTCAAATAGCTGGGCGGACGCTTGAATGTTTGCTAGGTTTGATACCTTACTTTCCTAGCGAAAAGCCGGCCGCTCAAAAGCTCAGTCAGTACACTCCATCCCCCAGTGCGCAAGACGCCTCAATGCGTGCTGCACAAGAGCTTATGAAACGCACTTTTGAACGCAGCCTAACGGAGACCTTCTCCTGGATAAGAAGGTATGAACTGAATGCGTCGGAAAATCTCGCCCGTCGCTTTTCCAGCTCATCGGCGTAGGCGACAGTCACCTTCTGTGGTGAAAACAAAGAAGTTTCAGTCACTCATCTACCTAACTGACCTCTTTCAGATTTCGGCATTTCAGACTTTCAGAATTTTTGATTGATTTATTGTGAACCGTTTTGCCGAGCATGGATTCGGCCGAAATCCGTTCCTTGGTATTCTACATTGTGAAGCACATCCGCTTTGTGCGAAAATTTACCACTCCGCAAACGTCGGCGCTACAGGCCAGTTTTGACACCGTGCTCTTCGCGCAGGTACCGGGGCCAGGTGTGTGTGGTCTTCCTGCTCATACTATCAAAGCACAGGTTTTCACGAATTTGTGAATGCTTTCTAGGCGTTGGTGTTTCTGGCGCGGATACAAAGCGGACGTGATCTTCGTACCTGGGGTTGAAATACCGCCGATGGCTAAATTCTAGGTTCATGATCAAAATCAAAGGGAACAGTTTCGGTAAAAGTCTGCCAGAACTCTGATAAATAGGGCAGCAAAAGGGTAAACAGAGTCCAGGTTCCTTTCCCAACACATCAATAAGTTTTCATGCTGCTCTGCATTGTGACAGTGCGAGTTTTACTGACCACGTCAAAAGGGGTACATTTTGGTGCATTTCGGGTTTATCCTCCCGAAAAGCACCATAATGTACCCCATTTGGCTCTGCTATCTCTGGTGCAAGGAGGCGGAGGTGGTATACTGCAAGTGAGGCACTTGTCATGTGTGCGGTCCGAGGTTCAAATCCCCGATCGGCTCCTGCTCGGGCCAATTGAGCCCTCTATCCCCGTGGACGGTAAATTGGTCCACATCTGTCTGGGAGGATAACAGCACTGACCTGTACATCGACTGGCCCCCGAAGTATAGGCTACGTACCATTCAATCAGCCAGTAATTGAATGTGGAATGCGACCTGCATCCCAGAAAGGAATTGATCAACTGCGAAGACCTTTATCTTCATGTTGGTACTACAGAACAGAACGAGTGAGACTAACAAAAGCAGAAATTGTCACAATTCAGAGTAAAAAATGAAGAGGGTGCTATCCCAGCTCGTGGTAGCAAAAGCTATATTGACGTTATCATGGAATGATAACGATTCCTTATGTGGTAGGACATTACTGACAACATACCGCCTTGACAGGTGTGCTTCAGGTCCATGTAACCATTGTTACCATGAACTACGATAGCTTCGAGAAAAGAAACTCATATCGTAAAAGAGCATTCTGGAAAGTCTGAGTTCGTTCGGCCTCTAACCCACACGAACCACTGGGACTAGGGTGGAAATGAAAGAAAAAACAGAATAGACACGTGCAAATGACGACCCTATCTTTAGCACCAGGATAATTTTTGTCGTGGGAATACGGTTACTCCAGACTTTCGCAATGTTGCACAATCTTCCGTCGGTTGCACGCGT